AAACTTGTATGTTTTGAATTTTGATCTGAAACTTTACACATATAAAGAACTCAACTAGACTAGTTTCCATAAAAAAAAGGTTCAGAAGTTTTGAACAAAGTCTCTTCGAAAAATGAAACTTTCAAGATATATTACCCTTTTCCATGAATAGGATATACAACATGCATTTTTTGAAAGTTTTATACCTTGACTAGACTTTGTTCAAAACTTTTGAATGTTTTTATGGAAATTTCTGAAGTTGAGTTATCTATATGCACGAAATTTCAGATCAAAATTCGAAAAGAGGAGTTTCTTGAACATCTGAAATTTGTAGAAAATAGACATGTTGAAAATTCCATAGTTTAATCAAATCCCAATAGAAACATAAATCTTTTTAGGATGTTTGCCAAAACACTGTAGTATTCATAGACAAAAAAAAATATCATTGAAATCACAAGGAAACATCTGCGAAGATTCTCTCGTCAGTCAATAAGATTTTAGAAACTTTCTGCGAACATTTAGAAATTTTATTTTAATCTATTAAATATATTTTTGATGAAACAAGATTTTTGTAAGAACAATAGAGTCTATCGTATTTTGTTATATGAAAATGTTTCTGTACATGACGAAGATTTTCTTAATGATTTAGTTTTTCGACATTGCAATTCAATATTTGTATGTTTATAATAAAAATTTCTATTTCATTTGACAATTATCAGAATGAAATAAATTGAAAATCATATTTCAAGCTTTTTCAAAAAAAATATCTTTCCAATAGATAATTAATAAATTTATTTCTTGAATAAAAAACTGACAGAACGTGCTTGTTTACTAACTCATTGTTCACCAATTGGTTAAGATTAATTTTTAATAAGAATAGTAATATCAATAAAAATGTATGAGATTGGAAATAATTGACATAAGATAAGCACTTTTGTCAAATATCAATGAACTTTGTTGATCGTTGAAAATTTACTAAAGATTTTGACTGGTAGCTTTTCATCTTGATAAATGAACATATGGAATAGAAGTGTAATGATCAGAAAGAAACAATAATAAATCAATGGAATTATTTTTCATAAACGAAATGTAAAGTGAATAATTTTAATTTAATTATTTTTATTTTAGTGGCATTGTTATCTGACACTCGAAATGTTAACAATGATTATTTATTAGAAAACGTTTACAATCGTATGAAAAAAAAAATTTCCTGATATGACAAATTCATTAATATCAACTGCAGTTCTTCTTGCTAATAGTTATAAATCGTTAGATGAAATTGACAAAGCATCAGATATTAGCATTCATTTATATAAATCAAATGCTAAGAAAAAGATCAGTCACTCATGGACTGCAGTCAATCAACAAATCTTTGTAAGTCAATAATTATAGTATTCATTCTCTATACAGATCATATGAAATGAACTTCATAGCAATTTCGAGCTCATGATCAATCTCATTCTCGATCAATTGAAATCTCCGTTGAACTTGAGAAAATATCAAAGAAAGTTATTGAATATGATTATGAATACGATACAAATTGGATCAGACAATCATTGAATTTAAATGAAATCGTCGCGTCAGTCCTTTGTGAACACAGTTAACACCTTGCAATTGCATGAAACTTAGTTAAGAACCCCAATGCATCACGAACTCAAATGACAAATTTATCTTTGTATTTGTGGTGATTGTCTTATGTGATCATGTCAATTCTTTTTTTTCATAGATCGTGCCACAAAAATAATAGCTGCTATTCGTC